AAAATTTTTGATAATCTTTAGCTTCTTTGTGACCATGTTTCTGGACTCATTTAGCTTATACAATACGGTTTTAGCTCTGTGGTCGTTTCTAATACCTCTGCAATTAACTTTTGCCCATTTAACCATGGTTTGTGTGTCTTAGAGAATCTTGCATCTGCTTGTCCAAATTTTTCGTCTTCGAATTGAATTCTACTCCTCTCTAACTCAATTTTGTGATACTGTGGATCAAAATCTTACACATTTTCTTCCTTCACGTAGAAAAATTTTCTTCATGGAATGAAAAATAAGAGATACCGCCATGTCGCGTGCAGTGAGAGGAAAACAAAACTACCCAAAGAGGAAGAGATGCTATGAACTGTATTTCTTTCATAAATATCAAGGACTGAAGCAGTTTTGTGACAAATCATCAGCTAAAATACTGAAGCTCAATGATATAGGCAAAAGGGAGGAACAGAAACTGTAAGAAAAGATGAAAAGAGTTATAAAAAAAAGCGAAGAACTGGCTATGAAGCGAAAATTAAACACATACTTTTTGCTTCTCTTCATCCAATTCTTTCATTGCTTGCTGTTGGGCTTTCTCAAATTGTTTGATGAGGAATGAAGAACTTGTTATCTCGGCTGTTTTCTCGGCCAATGACGATTCCAATTGCTTATTCTGGAAATGAATTCATTCATTTTAAAACTGCTGGAAAAAAGGAAATGTAACTCAATTATGTGTTATAGTTCTCTAATAATCCCGCGTTACCTCCTCCTCTTGTCTCTCCGGACCTCCTTCTCTCGCCCCTCACTTTATGCGTTTTTGCCGCTAAAGCGCTGCAACAGGCAGTAAAAACACATATTGCAACGATCCTATCTGTGTGTGTGTGTGTGTGTGTGTGTGTGTGTGTGTGCGTGTTTGTCTGTCCGGTATTTCTACTCGCTAACCACGCAAGCTTTAATGCTGAAGCTTGGCCAGCGTGTTCCCTGGCCAAGTGCGAATACAGCGGCATGATATCAACTTTCACGCACGTCTACTTTTTACGCGCGGGCACGTAAGAGTTTTGGAGAGAAAATTGCTAACTCGGGAATGAGAAAAGCTAGAACGTTGAAACTTTAGAAGAATGTTCAATACTCATGCACGATCGAACTCAGCTCCTTAGAAATGCCCCGGGACTCATGTACGAGTACATAAAAATTTTCCATCTGTCGAGTCACTGAAGTCGACATCTACACATGACGTGCTGCATAGCTGCATAATTAACTTGAACTTCGAAGGCCAGTATGTAACAAATTCTAGCTAATGTGATCCACTGCAATCTCGCTATGGCACGACATAGTGCATGACCGTACCGGTCCGCCTGGTGCGTTCCAGCCTGAGTGGTATCTTACGTTTCATTGCCGTAGTTCAAAAATCAGAAGGAAGATCATGGGCTAACTATAAGGAGAATAAGAAATAAGAGATAAGCAAAGCGAGGCACAAAAATAGTAGCCATTTAAATGGGCAATAAGAACTTCTGCCGAGAACAGGACCGTCGTTCGCAAATGGATATGAATGTGGGGAAGATTGAACCACTCGCCTTCGCATTCGGACGCGACGTGCTAACAACTGTACAACAAGAAATTTCGCCTTAAAGGCAGTTTGGGAGTAATTATGTTGTATCTGGTTCTAGGTAGCATACACTTTTTTCTTTAATTTTTTTTTTTGTTGGCTTTTCGCGGATTTCAGTGACAACCACCACTAAAATGATGAGTGGCCGAAATGACTATCAGGCACTGTGAAAAGGCAAATGTACCAGTAACGTTTTCCCCAAACTAAACAGAATTTCAGCCGCTCTACAAAAAAAAAAATCTTTTCCTTTCATCCCCTTACACCCAGCCTCCACAGCCCTATGAACATATACCACTTTTTTCAGCTGCTTCAAATCGTTGGCCAACTTTTCTGATTTCTTTTCATCATCTTGCAATTGGCTTTTTACAATTCCAAGCTCCTTCCGCAGTGCATTCTCAATGTTAGTCAAATCTGAAAAAAGAACATCAGAGGCGATGAAGCAAAATCGAGGGAATCCATACGTTTACCCGATAGTGATTTATAATTCTACAGATTACTTTACTAGGATCTTTGAAAGCACTTTAACAAACAAGCTTCCGTGCTATCAACGCTGTTATCGAACTCACTGTTTTAAGCAGAACTGCAAAACCTGCTAAACAATCTTTCCCAGATTTCAAATTTTATGGGATGCTGTTGGATTAACCAGTCCCTCTACGACCCACTCAGTTGTTTCGATGGTAAACTGGTACTGGCATATGCCAGAGAGTCAAACCCGCTTTCCGGATGATTGTAAGCGATCCTCAAAAGGAGCCAATAACAATCTCTTGCCAGCGAGTGGTTGTTGTTGGCATTTGACATCGTTAAAGCTACTTCTGGAGCGCCCCGCTTGTTACTAATAGCGAACATGGAGGGGGATTTTTGAATTTTTTCCACTGTTTGAAATCACCATGTTCCCTAAACATAGAAACAATACTGCCACAATTACTGTCTTTTCATCATCACAGCTGCTATCATCCCTGCTGAAAGGCGTTGGTAGTTATTACTACCACTTAAAGTGATACCTTCAGTTTTTTTGTAAGCTAACTGCAAAGCAGTTTTCAGTTCATCTCGTTGCAGTCGTAATTCATCTCTTTCTCGTTCACTCTCCGCAAGATGACCTTTCAGCGTAGCTTCTTCATCCATACGTAACATAATTCGGTCTTCAATCTCGCGTAATTCATTCTGGGCAGTTGACAAACCTTGCGTTTCTTAAATAAACAACATGACCTTACCCAACGAGAATTCTGAACGTTTAACATTTTGTACACTTTTTGGTACATTAAACGTATGATATGGAGGTAAAATTCCGGTCCGAAGATATCTTTGCGATATGGCTTGATAACCCTCATATGGTGATCAATCCGATTACCCCTATGCGTGTATTAATTTGATCATCGTCAATTCTGCAGTCTGTGCTGACTACGTATGCACGTTCTCGAATAATCGGTACGATCAACCTATCAGCATCTCCCAGTAGTTTAATTCAGCAGTTATTAGTAGTTTTCACGCAGTTATAAAAACTGTCGAGCTCTTAATCTCTTCAGCAAATGAAATGAACGCCAGCAAATTATCAAGCGGTGCAGTACTGGTCAAAACAACTGGAAAAGCTGTCACCTAAGCGGATGAGAAAAAAACTTTAAATTGCATCAGATCCGAATATTCCAAGTGAATAAAACAATAAAAAATGAACGTCAAATTTCAATAAGAAAAAGACCGTTAGTTGAACCAGTCCAGCAACCGGATCGATGGATATGTATTGTAATACAGGGTAAGATGTGACATGACGGGACATGAAAAACCACGCGCTTGAATGTATGACTGTTTGCTGGATGCCTGTATTCCGTTGCTAGCCTCCAAGGTTTCTCAAATTAAATGCTGCGATTGAGTCACGGCCAAATCAAGCCGAACTGGTCAATTCTTATTAATAATTGGCTACTACTTTAACCGATCACAGTGCATGCACTACGCTCACAACCACGATCCGGGCTGCTTGACCACAGTCTGGAATATTATCTATATGCAGCTTTTTCTCGAAATTCAGCCCCGAAAACTGAACTGCGGATTCTATACGGCCCTTACTGTACACACATATTCCAAACAAAACCCTTATTTCGAAACTCCAACAAATTACAGAG